ACGGTGCAGACAGTTGACCTCGGATGAGTCACCCTAATGTGACGTGGTTGTGGCCATGAAAAAAGACAAGTCTCGTGATCCAGTGAGTGACTGTGAGCTGAACAGTCAAGCATGTGGGTGACTGGGTTGCCACACTGCGCGTCGCAGTTCAGAGTATCCCAAGAAATGAAAATACACACACGTAGTCATTTGGAAGACAACTAGCACATTACAGCTGCTCTGCAAGATCACTTTTTGGCCGTAGTGAAATCACCTGCATTTCATGTTCGCACACGTGCTGCACGGCTTGCCGGGGTAGCTTCTCTATGGCATGCTCAAGTGTGTCTCATTGGACTATCTGAATTACGTGTACACAGCCATTTTGCGGTTGCAAGCAAGCCATACGGTTGGACTGGTGCCGGCTTTTTACAGCGTGTCTTGGAACAAAAATGCGTTTGTGATATGATGTACACGTGCTTCTTAATTGACTTTTAAACATGAAAGAAGCAGAAAATTACATTGCGCTCGATCACTAATTTCGCTGCTCGCATTTCTGCTGCCAGTCTGTCTGTCACAACATTTTCCACAGCATACTTTTCGGCAGTCATTTCCCCGAACAAGTCAAACATTTTACTCGCTGAAGCAAGTTGTCCGCTGTCCACGAACTCAAACAAAACCGGACGTCCTGCGCCACGCCACTCGTGGTCAAAAGATGTGCATGTTGTATCTACAGGCCAGGTTTACTTTGTTTTGACAAAATTACCTAAATCGGTTTGTCAGTGTGTTTCATCAAGATTAACAACATCAAGGTAGCGCTAAAACAGCGTTAGCTGTTGACATCTGGCGAGACATATGTAGTGATTTCTTCCGTCGCCAACGTAAGCACCTTCGGACTCATATGGCGTTGCCAGAACTAAAAACGCATCTGCCATAACAAAACCCCACTAGTTGTCACTCAATCAATGAAGATGGCAATTAGAAATGGAAATGGGCGATTTCGCTCAACTTACTAGTTTCTTCGAATTCCACGATTGGTCTGATTTCGCTCTCTATCTGCTGCATTTATAGCGCAAATCAGGGGTAGTCACATGGTGCGCGCACAATGACTGTAATTTCCCTCCACAAATCCAGTTATCGTTTCCTCAAATGCCGTGAATGACGAAAACCAAACATCTGACAATTTCCCAACAAAATTAGTCAAGACCATGCATGGAGCTGTCACGCTGTCACTTTAAACGGAAAACTCGCCAAATAAGAATAAAAGAGATGAGTACAGGCACAGCAAAACGGTATACTTTAACGTACTTATGTTCATTTGACAGATTGAGATTCAGGAGACACGAGCATTCGCCTGTCATGAGGCGGCAGTCTGTACAACGTATGCCGGCTGGAACAAATGCGGTAGCCCTAGATATTTCTTTCCTTTTCCCAACCTTCAGCAACATTTGAGCATACAAGGCTCCACCACTTGACGAAGCTGTTCGTGCAATATTCCGTGAATTGCAGCCATTGTCCGGATGACAAGCATATGTATTCCTTCTGCTTGGGCAAAGCTAGGTGTTGCTCCTCACGCGTCACTTGAATAGGCTCAATTTCGCCCCGCTAGTTCTGATTCTCGCGTGCAAAATCTATTCCCATTAGCTCGTAATTTCCAATGTCAGTAAAAGGTCCAATGTCTTAACACGGGTAAGCCAGGTTCTCTTAAATCATCTTGGAAGAAGCCAATCACGAAGCAGCGCTACACATCATGTGCTAGTAGCGCACAAACCGAGGGAAATTCTTTTAATAATGGGTCCATTTTCGACGTGAGCAGTCAAGATTTACAAAAGATCTCGTTCTATCTCGTCCATGAGCAATAATTTCCACGTCCGTGCTCTAACAATGGAACCCATCTACTCGTGCGCCGATCCATAAACTCTGGAAATTCTAAGCCAGCAGGTAGCCCTGCTGTAGTCGATAAACGGTATCTGTCGATTTGCGGCGTTGTCATTCAGTTCTCTAAGCTCTCCGATTTGGGTGTTTTGCCTGTGCGCAGAAACGCTTCCACATTTAGCTAGACGATATTTTCTGAATTTCTGGGGGCTCTGGTATCAGGTTAAAAGTTTATTTTTGTACACTGTATCGCCTTATCTGTAGGCTTATCCAAATTCATCAACACGTTCTCGATAGGTGACACATGCATTGACATCTTGAGAATGATAAATTATTGTCCGTTTATTCCTGGTGCATTACCGCCCAAAATAATTCGTGGAAATTGATCCAGTTCCATGTGGGTATTGTTCATCCCAAGTGGTTTTTTATAAGAATTCATTTTCACCACACGGCGTCACTGTACGTAAGGCGTACTGCCAAAAAGTGCCACAGTAAGAGGCCAGGTGCGTCCAATATTACCCACACATTTCTCACAGAGGTTCTCACTGTAGTGCTCTGTGAAGAACATCCACACAGACCCTTTTGGGGCATCCGTTTGTGGCTAGGTTAAGTCATGTAGGTGGGAACCAGTCCAACGGCTAGACTCCATGCACGCTACCTCGCCCGTTAACCCTCAACCTTCCAGAAAATACGCAAATGCACCTGCTGATGACTTACGCCCCCCGACACAGTGCAAACTTGGGGCAGCTTCCCAGTCACCATTGGTAGTCTGTTGCATCGGTATCCGACTGCACCGCATACGCGCCAAGTAGAAGCCCACAAGGAATGGTTTGTTTTGTCCTCATATTACGTCGGCTACATCAGCTAGTCATCGGCTTCTAGGTCGGCCAAAAAACTTCCACACTAACACAGGTTTGCCTAACTTCTCGCCATCCACTTCAGATGAATTTTTCTATTGGACACCCTTTTGTCTGGTGCCTCCAGCACTCACCCTATTCCTCCCCCACTCCTGTTCGCGAGTTTCGGACATCTACTGTAGCTGGTGCAAACTCCCCGTTTGGCTGTCATTCATCCGAGTGTTAGTGCAAGTATGGTTCGGGACTACCATACTCAATCTGAATGCACTCACACAACTGTTTTCTCCCTACCATCGACCTTCATATATCGATTGACCTAGCCTGTGGTTGCGTCTACGAGCAAAATTTTCACCCAGCTATAAGCGGCTCTCGCACGAGTTCGTTGTAAGAGGCTCGATTCGGGTTAAAACTGTCCGGTTTTCCGTTGCATTTTCAGTTCACCTCTTCCGCGATTTCAAAGATTTCATCTACGGTGTTCGTTGGGGTCCGCGCATTAGCACCCACTTCCAACAGCACCCCATCGAAAATATCCCTTACACCCGACCTCCCTACAATGGCGACACCAATGGGTTTACTTAAGTACAAACGAAACCACATTTTGAGATGAAGCTTGTCATTTGTCACCCCTTCGAATCCGCTTATATCAATCTCCGTTTCGCCTTTTTCGGCCATGGTGTTTTACTCAACCGCTCAAGGCAACTTACGGTCAGGAACGATTTTTAATTTTTTGATCAGGTCAGCCGTCTTCATCATCATTCCCACTGCTGTAAGTTTTAGATCCCAGAACTACGATGATTTTCTCGTAACAAATGTGCTCTGCCGAGTTTGCCTTCCTCCCGTTGTGTTAATGCCCGCTGCGTTCAGGTTTTAACGACGTGCTCATGTATCGACTGGCATGTTTCCTACAGGTTGGGAACTGAACCCATTATGATGGTTATTTCGCTGTATTCCCCCTACGCTTTTAGAACTTCCGTATTATCTAAAGGTATATAAGTGGCCAAAACGCCTCCTGAAACAGTTGAAACCCATAGGAAGCATGGAATTCGGCCAACGTGCGTGGAAAGTACAATCTTTGGATTTGCACCACATGTGTGCCTCGGTGTGCTGTCCGGATGACGAATTTAGGCTCGGCAGTCATCGTTGCGGAACAGGAAAGTAGGTCAGGGTTTTTCTCTTTATCTTTCGATTGCGGCCTGCCGTCGCTAACAAGGTTGCGACTATGAAGCATGCATCTCTGTCCTACGGTCTAATCATCTTTCACCATGTCACCCACTATCGTGTTTGTGCTGGCTGCCACATGTGGGCGATTTCAACCGAGATTTCCGTTGTTTACTAGATCGGTCGGAGTGTGGTTCTTAAAGTCCGGCCTGCGGCGTCGTCTTCAAAACTTTGTCAGTGACATCACCACGTCTTCTCTGGGGGATTGCATTCCATCCGTTTGAGGAGTTGTCGCCGTATCCCGATTTTTGGGTGGTTTCGCAAAATTCGTCTTGTGACGTAGTCAGTTGCCTCGCAACAGTAAAGTAAAGTAAGCATCCTGGATGGGCGTGATCCTGTCGTTTATTATTTACTGTCTCACCTTCTCTTTCTTTGGGAGCATCTTTTCCTACTCGTGGGCGAGGCACCGGCTCGTGGATCCTAATTGTTTCCAATACTGAGCCCGATTCTCCTGTCACTGCCGCTTGCGCTATCCCTAGGAAGTTGCACTGGTAAACTGACTACCACCCAAACTTGAACATTTCCAATAAGACGTCCACGCTTCTGCGGTGGCATAACATGAGGTGGACTTCACACGGTGTGAAGCATGACCTTGAACGCAAATCAAGTGATCTTGACAAACCGACACTCGTTCGTGGCTACTGATTTTTCCGTGCTCATTCCAACACAGCTTACACTGTAAATAATTCCCATACAGAAGCAGCTTTAGCCTCGGTAAAAGACGCGGAATTCCGTGGGAATTTCAGTTCCACTTCCTTAAGCTGGAGAATATAATCTGTGGACATAACTGGAAATAACACTCAGGAAGTCTTTGGCGCAAGCATCTGTACCCGAAACTGTCTGTATGAGGTGATTAAAATAGTCAAACAGAATTTCTGATATATCAACTCAGATATTTGGTGACCTTGAGCTAGGTCATATAAGTGCGGAAATTCGTTTCGCTACATCATTTTCGTGGTTCACGAGACACAAGAGTGCAGATAAAGTCGACAAGGCTCAGGTTTGATACAGCTTTGTGTATTGAACAAAAACGGCATAGGTGTTGTATTTGTAATATCGGCTGGGTACAAAGGAATGCCCAATGGTAAGACTAATTCTCTTTTCCTAAATGTAAAGGAGTTGTTCGGGTGCTGCAGCAACACAGTTCGTGGGATTTTGTGTATTATTGGTGGAACTCTGATACACATAACGTACGGGTATTTTTACACTGTTGGTAAGGATCAAATGACATCAACCTGAACCTCCACTTTATAGGAAATATGGCCCCGTACATCGTGGATTATATGAACGCTAACAACATATCTGTGGACAAAACTTCAGCCGTCTGGCTAACATCAGTTGGTTTCTCGATGCAATCAATCGCCATGCCACTATCAGCATATATTGCGACGAAAATTGGATTTAGAATCGTGGTTATATGTAGCTGCGTGTTGCACAGGTGGGTCGATGTTAATGTGATAGATGATCATTAGTACGCAGTCTATCTCGTATAAAAATTAGGCCTTAATAAACAAATAGGTAATGCTTATTACGCATTCATTTTCCGAATCAGTACGCAGGAATCTTGGGTTTCGGATGCAAAGATATGAGTGCTATTTGGATAGGATTGTATACTATTCATATCAGCTGAACTCGATACGCACCTCAGCCGCAGCATCTGATCAAACATTTTTCAACATTGACAAAGTACTGTAGGGTATTAATCCACCGAAATCCGCTGAAATGTTCGGGAAAACTGCATAGGAACAGAGATATTTGGCAGCACTGAATTCGGTTGAATTTTGGCGTGATTTGCACGCCGTATTCTGGGAAGGAGTTAGTTGGAACCAACTGTCCATGAAAACTGCCTGTAGGCAAGAGCGCGTACAAGGCAGATTGGAGACAGTGGGTCCGCCGGTGTTGAAAAGTTGGATCATTGGACCATACAAAACACTCGAATTCAGTAGAACGCCATGGTAATAACTGTAACACACAGAAGTACCGATACAAAGACCAAAACTAATGCATTCCAACTAGTAAACAAGACGGGCGTAGACGATGCCTAACAAATGTTCTTATCCAGAACGGTGCGAAAATCTGGAAAACGAAAATCCCTAGTTCACCCCTTAGATTCAGCCAACAGCATTTATTACATGGATTTCTTTTTAATAAGTGCTTTCCACTGGAATAACATGCAAGTTAAGCTAAAATGCACAGTTTTTGTAAGCTACATTGTAGAACTCAATCGAGACTGCATTAAGAGGATCAGAATGTGGAAGCCCATGTAAACTGCCATTATTACCTACTGAACGTGAATATGAACAGACCTTATTTTTTGCTCATTTCGAGAAAGATGTTGGTAACATAGAGTAGGATCCTGATTGTGGGGAAACCACATTTTTAGTGACGCGTAAAAAGCCCACCTCAGTGAATTTCTGAAGCTCGTTGCTTCGCGCATTCACATCCACGGGACAACTTGTCAAAAATGAGCAATGAGACTTTCACTTTGAGTGAAACTTACTTTTGGGGAATAAGGTGCTTTCTCCCGACTGACGTCACTGAAGAATTTCCGAGCAGCCAATGGAGTAACGAAATTCTTGTTACCATTAGTGGAAATGTGTGGTATGTCACTGCTGAATAAGACAAAATTGTGGGCCGCTACTTCATGATTTTTTACTGACCACTGTAAAGCCACCGTTTAGAGCGAAAACGCTGCTTGTAGGCAAATAAGACTACTTTGATCCTCTTATTCAAAACTTTCCACTAATAAACAATATTATATGGTTCACAGACCACATGTGACTTATTATCTACGTTAACTATAAGGAGTGATCGCTTTTATGGTTTCCTTCTTTTACGGTGTCTTTAGTGCTACAGTGTAATGAAAAATTCAACGGGAGCTGGATTTGGTAGTCAGGACCTTCCAAGTTTTAATGCCTACTTATATAGACATACCGTGGTAGCTGCAAGAATTTGTCGGATCTTAGTGCTCTGAATACAGCTATAATTTGTGCCAAAAAGAAGGCCTCATAAAGTAATAAATACCTGCCAGTTTTATATGTGCGAGTCAACTCTAATCTAAGCTTCAAAGCATCTTATTTTAACCGAGCTCCGAAGTCAGATTGTTCTTAAGTAAAGAAGCTCAGGCAGAAAGCATTCTTGAGGAATACATGGCAAGCGGCCTGAGAGTCTTTAATGATAACGGGTTGTTATCTCACTATTTTTCATGTCTCCACACCTGGCGCATGTCGAGCATTCGGTGTACTTGTAAAAATTTTGATTCAGCCTGATATTTAACTGGAGTTTAAAACCGTGAAATCCTATGAAAACAGAGACAAATTAAATAGCTGAAGTGGTCGCCAGTGAGATCCCGAAAAAAGACCGACAGGTAGAATAAGGAGTAATTAACTCTGCTGGTGCCCTGTATTATTTCAGTAAAAAGTGTTGCTGGTGTGTGAGTCAGAGCCAATTCGATTGAAGACGCACTAGGCACGTTTACTAGGCCGTTTACTATTCTACGTGCGTTATGAAACAACAAGAAAATATCAATGTAAGATGAAGGTGAAAATTTTAAATCTTCTGTCACACCAGAAACGTGTTACCTCGACATGATTACCAATTTCTTGTGAGTACCGCGTGAGGTGCATCTCCCTAGTGCCCATGCCACTCGCTGACAGAGATGGTTGAGAAATGAGTGCTCATTATGCTCCCGTAAAAATGTCAATTTAAGCATTGGCAGAAAACTAATATCAGCTGATGCCATTGAAACATTTGTATTCTAGAATATAGACACTATTACCACAACCTACTAGGTTACCTTGTATGATATCAAAAATAACGCAGCACTGACCACTGAGCTTATTATAGTGCGATTATAGATTTTCTTTTCTCATTTTCAATTTTGTGTTGGGTCTGTTTCATCAAATGGGTGGAGCACATGTGCAATTATGCTGACAGTTGTATTACTTACTATAGTATTCGTCTTCACGAAAGTTCCTGATTGGAGACGAAGCAAGAAGGAGCTATATATAAATCATATATTCACTCATCTAAATGTAAGAGTTTATGGTAAAATTCTCCAAAACCGCGTAATTAGTTCATTATAAGGCCACATGAGGGAAAATGCTACCGTAGTTCTTGGTAGGATCGTAAATTCTGGCTCACGTGCTCCGCGTATTACTAAAAATATATGAAAGATTAATTTAGGCAAACTGCTGTCTAGTGCATGTTACTGTGCATCGTGTTATTTTTTAAATGGCAAAACGTAGGGCTGGCAACATCAAAAGACATCATAGAGCCCATCCCAATACCACAGAATTTGACAAAGTACGTAAATGATGATTTCAAAACGGACGGCCCTTGCTGAGTAGAAAGCAAGGATGGCTTTTTCAACCGGTTCCATTTTCACCTTATTCTGTTGCTGTGTTATTCTGTAGAATTCCATAGGAGTTGAGGAGTACTTAAATTAATCCATTTCAGATTATTTTTAAGACAATAACAAATTGCAACCAACTCTTCCAGCGGGTTTATTTCATTGAGAATCTCGGAAAGTATACAGATGTATAGTGCTTTATGGATAAATAAATCACAAAATCCGTGAACGTTTACGGTGGGGTAAATTTTCAGAACTTCTGAGAAGCGTATGCTCTGCTGCAAGAAGTTTGACATAGATGACCTACAAGAGTAACGATGAGTCAGGAGTAAACATTTCGGTTGGTGAATAACCCGCAGCTGCCAAACTAAATTACGGTCATTTAATTAGAAGCAAGTTACACCTTAGCATCTTGTAAAATCAGTACCAAAATTCAGTCAAAGAAGGAACAGCCAAAACTCAAATTAATTGCAGTGAAACACTTTGCCATGGTATTTGCTTTGCCGTCACAGATTTTGCGTCAATTGCATCCAAATAGGAATCATGCTTGTGTAATACGTCATCAAAGACACTCAGGTTCCTAAAGTAATGTTATAAAACATTCCAAACGCGTTATGTAAGCTCTTTTATATGATACCGAATTCCATAATTTCGATCATTTCCACTGTGAGCAAAATGCTTGCTTCACCAATAGTTCATTGATATCTACAGCACTGTCTCCGTCTATGTTCTTGATCTAAAGCAATCACCTCGTATTGGTGGGTGGGCTTCTCTGCCTCAGTGCTTCTATGGGCTATACTGGGTGTGACTCAGTTCCTAATAATTTGCCCGTACCAGGAGTGCCAACCCGACAATGAACAGCCGGTTCACGTATTGAGACAACAGCAATGCGAAAGTGAAGTCCTAGCTCTGCCTTCAAAGGATCTGTAAAGACAGTAAGGCCTTTTTGGGCGTCCAGCCTACTTATATTTATAAAAGTAGCGTCGTTGACTGCCATCAAAGAAGGATGGATTAGAGGAATGTGACTCTAAAAGAACATACTCTATTGACAACCGCGATTTTATTCTATAATGTCCTCATACTTTCAAATCTAAAGACTAAGGCACTTCTCAGATGGCACCCGCTGATTGTGGCTGCTCTGGGAGTAACAGATTTATGCATTCTTTTTTTTGCCCTTGGGCAAAATCAGGTGCTGAAGCTAAGCGGGCTAGCTCATTGAGCCTCTAAAAAACCCTAATAGACACTGCCACAAGGCTTACTCTTTCGAGGCAGAGACTAGTGAAGGGGTATGCAAACGAAATCCTATATCCTCTACGGCTCTGTGGACCAAAAGTTCGAGCCAAAGGTGGGAAGCATAAATAAAATCCTCTTCTGGCGCCTGAGTGACCGACTTGTATCACTTAACCGGACTTTTCCTCAATGAGTCATCCTGCTTTTCAAACATTTTGGGGTGCCTAGTAATTCTGATTTGATTAACTGTCGGCTACTCAACATTTTTCTCGTAGCTGAGCCTCCACAAGCCTAGTAGAAACTTTTGTTGAATTAAAAAATCTGTTCCCAAATTGCTGTTTATGCTGTCTCTTATTTGCATTAATTTGGAAAACGGGTGGCTCTTGCTCCGACCTGGTTTCTTCTTACAATAAACGTATAATGTTTCTTCGAAACAGTCATGAAAACCCATCGTACTATCTAATATCTCAAACCGCTTTGTACGAAAACACGTCTCTTGCACTTAACTACCTGTGCACCTGGTGATTCTGATTCATTGACTCGCGTTATCTAAGGTGTGAGTGTCGCGCTTAATCCCAGGGTTGGATGCTCACTACTAGACTATAGTTCAGTCGTCAGTCGCCTTTGTCCGTTTAGGTCGATTGACGTGTACAAGAACAATGCATTCTAATTTAGAAAACAGTGTATGTTTGTTGCGTCAGCATACGTCCCGACAGATATCTGAGCTTTCTTGTTTTATAACGGTTGATCCGGTCAGCGAAAGTAAGTAGTATAATTTCGCCAAGTGGTATTAATATTCTGATTGGCTGACCAATTACTCTTGGAGTAAAATTTGGCGGTCGATCTGTGGTGATGTCTATCGCACAGATAATGGAGAGTGATTTCCTCAGTTATGTACTACATGCCACTTGTTTCTAGCCAGCACAAATCTTCAACACAAACGCACACCGTGTGATTTAGAGGCCACCAAATGCAAGCCGACCGAGCAGTAAAGCAGATCACGAGGTTATTGGATTTTATTTAATGGTTTTGTGTTGAGACTGCCTTGCACTCTGGTGTAGAGCACGTGGCTCCCATAAATATATTGTGTAAACACGTGTAGTTATTTGTTTCCTTTCTCGGACAAGTTGGTTTAGAGGAATGCAGTTCAGTGCCCGCAAAGCGTCTTTACAACCCAACAATATCGGATCGGGTTTAAGAAGAGGCTTCCAGGACCCATCGGGCACATCAAGAACTTATAGGTTACGATTGGAGAAAGGTGGAAAATTCATAACGACAGCCTTCGAAACAATTTCAAATTTCTAATATCAGGTTGGTCAATTGTTAGAGGTCTGACGAACACAGTCTCCTGGCCCTCCAGGTTGGGGGTTGAAACACGTGGCGACTTGTTCCGTAGCAGTGGCAATGCATTTGCATTGCCCGCCAAACACCGCTGCCTTGTGGTTAGGCTTTTGAGCCAAAGGCTTTGGTTGAGGACCCTAATCGTCCTCCTGTCTAGGTGTGGGCGCCCTGGCAGTATCCCAGTCCACATACAACCATGAACAGCACATACACAAATAAACTCATGCCACATCGGCCGTCACGTGGTGCCATCAGCCTGGTCGCCTTACTTGCTGCATACAGTAGGGCGGGTAAGCGAAAACGGGCCACTGCTGACGCCTCCCTTCTTTCTCTTTCACATACTTTTTCTTCCCTCCCCTCCCCACCCCATTAATAACTCTCTCCTTGTAGGCCCAGCACTAAGGACTGATGACTCCTTTCGTCACACATCGGTTTTGAGTGCAGCATCTGCTCGCCTCATGATGCTGACATATTCAGGAATCTCCTAATCAGTACTCAAGATTCGACACCCAGTCTATCTCGCCGCGTTCAGTGTCCGCACATTGAAGCAAGTAGGACAACAAGCTGCTCTTGCACTCGCACTGGACTCGCTTGGCATTGACGTGTGCTGTGTCTCAGAAGCGAGAATTCAAGATGCAAGCACAGTGATTGAGTTAACCGCCCCGTCAGTCTTCACTCGCTTCCGGCTGCGCACCTCTGGTGATCCAGAGGCTGCTGCGGTGGGATGTGCAGGGGTTGGTATTGTGCTAAGTCACCGGGTGGAAGTATCCTTACTTGACTGGGTACCTGTTGATAGTCGCCTCTGTGCGGTTCGTCTGGCAACGTCTGTGAAGTAGTCTCACAAGCGGCAAGTTGATAGACGTCTGTTTATCGTGTCTGCCTATGCCCCAACTGATTGCAGCTCTGACGCCGTCAAAGACAGGTTATATGACGCCCTGAATGCTCTGCTGCGGTGATCTAAAAGCTCAGATATTGTAGTGGCTGCTGGAGATATGAATGCGCAAGTGGGCAGGCTTAGTGCATCTGAGACTCAATTGGGATGTCGACATGGACTGGACTCGGTACGTACGGACAATCGGGAACGATTACTTTAGCTTTGCGCCGACCGCAGGCTGTTTTTATGCAGTACGAAAATCCGAAATAGCCAAAGTCGTTTGGCCACTTGGTGTCCTCCAACGACAGGTCGGCCACAAACTCAAATCGACCACACTGTCATTAATTACCGATGGCGCGGGTCCATAACTGACTGCCGGTCGTTCTGGAACACATTTGTGGACTCTGACCACGCACTCGTCCGGAGTCGCTTCTCCCTACGTTTTCTGGGGCCGCGTTAGGTGCGGACAAATCGCATGGCAACTGAAAGACTGGCAGATCCGGATGTAAGACGAACTTAAAAGAATCATCTTCTAGAGTCTCTTCCAAGTGCTCCACCATCAGATGTGAACTCACACTGGGACGAGATTGCCACCTCTTTGCATAGTGCTAGGAATTTTGCCTGTGGCCCGACCCAGCTAGGCGCACTCGAGCACTGGATATGAGACCGAGCGGTGGCATTAGTTCAATCTCGGAGAAATATCCCAGCCGGTCCCGAAAATAACCCGGTGCGAAGAGCTATCAGACGCCAAGTGAAAGTGAGTTTGCGATCCGACCGTGAATCATGGTGGACACAGAAAGCCAAAGAAATGGAAGAGGCCCAGAAAGCCGATAATGCCCGAAGATTATTTCAGTTGATCCGTGCGACCGGCTCCGGAAACCACCTGTGAGCGAAACCATCAAACACCAGAATGTAATGACCATCTCGAACAAAGAAGAGCGCCTCGACCGATGGGCTGAATGCTTCGACAAACAACTGTCGTGGCCACCAGACGGCACTCATCCAGAGCCCACTGGTGAAGTAGAACCCTGGACGGTGAACGTGGAACCACCTACGGCCTTGGAGGTTTACGACTGCTCCACCGAGCTCCCGGTACAGAAAACCTTCCACCCGCACTGTTCAGTCAGCGCTTGTCCGATCTGCTTGCTTGCATTTTGGAAAGAAGTCTGTCTTAGAAAACTGGGGAGAATCGATGATAGTGCCCGTTTTCAAAACAGGGGCGCGTAGTGAGTGTGGTTACCAAAGGAGGATCAGCTTGACCCCGGTTGTAACGAGACTGTTGGCCTCAATTGTGCTTCGTCGCCTTACGGATGCTCGCGAGATACTGACTTGAGGGCAGCAAGCGGGATTTCGGCCTGGTAGTGGTTGCATTGACCAAATCTCCACACTGCGTCAGGTGCTAGAACAACGCCATACGTATAAGCGACCCACAATTCTAGTATTCCTGGATTTCCGAGGCGCATTCGAATCGGTTGATCGGTATGTCCTTCTTGAAAAGCTTGCCTACCAAGAAATGCCCCGGAAGTTTGTAAACATCATACGTTCTTTGTATTCTCAGACTTCCGAACGTGTGAGAATGTACGGAGAGCTCTCCAAATGCTTTCGCACACAAAGCGGTGTCCGTGAGGGATGCCCACTCTCTCCATTCCTTTTCAACTTTGTCATCGATGAAGTAATGAAACGAACGCTGGAGGGTCGCAAAAACTCTGATGTTCAAATAGCCTGTGAAGAAAACCTTGTCGATCTGGAATATGCAGACGACATCGTTTTCATGTTCGAAGAGGACGAGAAGGCACAATTATTCTTGGATGAACTGACCAAAGTCATCCCGTCCTTTGGTATGCACTTTGCACCTACAAAGTGTAAGGTCATGCTGGTGGACGTGCAGTCACTGAACACGCCACCTACAATCCAGGGAGAGGTACTGGAAGTTGTGGAGCGTTTTACGTACCTTGGAAGTTATATTAGTTCTGATTGCAGTGTGACAGATGAGGTGAATGCACGAATCTGCAAGGCTCGGACCGCGTTTGCTAATTTGAGACACCTATGGCGTCAGAATAGTTTATCCCTGAATCTGAAGGGACATGTATATCAAGCTACGGTACGGGCTGTTTTGTTTTATGGCTGTGAGACTTGACCTATTCGAGCAGCGGACCTGAAACGTCTTCAGGTGTTCGACAATTGTTTTCTCAGAACCATAGCTCGTGTGACTTGGTGTCGGCGAATCCGTAGCGAGGCAGTTAGAAAGCGTGTTTTCGGTTGTGTAACGGGTACTTCCATTGAA